AAAAATTCTAGTCATAATTTTGACTTCTGCTCTCCTCTTATTCAGAAACCTCCGCTGCTTAAAGTGTCTAGGGTTTTACCTTTACAGCCAACTGCAGAGATTAATTTGTTATTTTCTCCTTGTACAGAGGTCTAGAAAGTTTAGTAGCTGTGATGTGAAGGCCTAGAATTGGCTTTAGAAGCTGAAATCTGGCTATAAATATGTGGGACAAAAATGAAGTATGTCCAAGTTGTACTTCCAATAGATAACCTACCTGAGCTGGTACCAGGAAACTAGAGCTGATTACTAGCCAACCTCAGGAAAATCCGAGATAAGTCTGTCTGTGAGGAAACAGAAAAAATAGCCCAATGTAATTCCAAGGTTGATTTTTTTTTTTTTCCCCAAATTTCTCCTAAGGGTTTCTGCTGTAAGAAAACAGTTGAGCACAAGGTGCTCTACTCTAGCATGATCCAAGCTTATGGTTCTGTATTAAATCACTTGTAGTTTCAAGGTTGGTAAAACTATTATAGATCAAGAAGTTTTAAGCAATATTTTGAATACAGCAAATACTAAATGCAAACTTTCTGCTTTTTTTTTTGGCGGGGGGGAGTGGTGGTGTCTTTGTTATATTATTTGTATCAAGATAGCAGGTGGTCCTCCAAGGCTCCATTGTGGGAATCACTGTTTAAACAAAAAGCCCCTCAGTAAGTTAATATCCTGTCTGATTTTGCTTGCAGATGCTGAGCTGTCATTGTTCATCGCTGCGCTAACAGTCAGCGTTGTGATAATAGCTCAACACTTACGACATGAAAAAGCTGAGACCTGGGCCACACACATTTTTGTTCGCTGCTGCATTTATATAGGTGTACAGGTACCAAGGTGTTCTGTGACTGGCCATGTCCTGTCACCATGCTAGAGCACGTTGGTATCTCTGTGGCTGTTAGAGGGGATTGTAGCACCCTCAGTCAGAGCAGGGTAACTTGGCTGTCCAGACAAAGCTGCCTGATTTTGCTTTTCAACCATCCAGGCAGAGCTAAGGCGGCATTCCAGCTTCAAATTTTTGTGGTGGTAGTTTCTTTTGGCCTCCAAGTTTCAAGGATCTGGTGCTAATCAGTGAACTAAATGTTTGACTTTTATTCTTGATGAATTCATTTATGCTTATTCGCTCTCAGAAATATGTAACTGTGCACTTTTGCCAAGGCTTGTAAGTATCACTCATCTAACAACGCACTTCTGATCCACACAGTAGTTCGGATGCAAATGGGATGTGTTTGAATACTCTAGCTCAGAATTACGATGCAGACATCATGTTAATCATCAAGCTATCTGTGTACATGGGAAAACAGAGATCTGACAGGTGCAGAGGAATTGTTTGCTGCTTCACTGTAGCAGTCAGACTGCTTTCCATCATCTCCGTTTAGTGAAAAGAGTGTTCCAGAAGTTGGAATTTAATTGCTTTCTTTCAAAAAATGCAAATTGTTTTATTGCTTCCTTTCTTGCAGCCTTGGTCTGTGGAGACCTTACAGAATGTCTGTCCCCATCTCATCCCCTCCCTCCCCCCGGCCATTGCCTACTTGTCAGTACCCAATCTTGCAGACCTTGTCTTTGGTATCACCCTCCTGGGTTTTTCTGCTGTCATGTACCCTCTCTGCTCCCTGGTCCATCATGCTGCCTTCTTCCAAACACTTGAATACAGTTTGATACTCCGTAGGTGCAAAACAGCATTAGCTCAGATAACCTTATTGTAGATGATCCTATTTTAGAGAGGTATTTGCATCTGGAGTCACAGAGAAGTAAGGTCCCTTTTTGGTGGTTGCTCACACTAAAGAGAAAAGTCAGTAAATGCCCTTGGGACAGAAATGGCTCAGGGACTGCTTTAAGCACATACATGATCTCCCTTAGCTCTAACAGTTCTCCATGTGCTTCAAGACCAAGTGTTCTTCAGAAGCCGCTTTACTTGAGGTTCCAGAGAGAGCAGCCAGGAGGAAGAGCAGGGACAGCAGGAGATTTCCTTTAGAGCCTCGAACTCCGCACACAGCTCCAGAAGAGCTCTTTCAGTGAGCTCATTCTACAAGGTCTTTCCACCCAACACCTTCCTTGATTGGCGGCCAAAATGGGGTCTGAATTCCAGAAATACCCATGGGCAGTGGAGCTCGGGGGGTTTAGCCAGCCAAACACAGTATGGTGCAACACAGGAGGGAGCTGGCCTTGGGGATTTTTTGTATGTGTGTACAGGCAATAGATGTTGCCTCAACTTGGTTTTGGGACTTCACATGAAGAGAGATTTCCTGAGCTTCCTGCCAAAGCTCAGGCAGAGCTGAGACCACAAAGCCTGCATTTTATTTTCTCTCTTATAGCCAAAAGATGGCTGACTGTTTTTATGACAGTTTGATCTTCAGAGTGAAAATTTTTAACACAGTTAGCCCTGGAAATTTCTGTTAGCCTCTCTTCTTTTTTTTCAGTGCACTTTGAATTCCTGGGCATGAAACGTCTATATTAACTCCTCTTTGAAAGAATGTGTCCTGGGAAGTTTGATCTATCTGAAGAACTTTTTTTTTTTTGTTCCCATCCTTAAGTTGCTCTTTAACCCACAAATTGAGGGATAAGTGACTGTTTTGGAAAAAGCTTTAAAAAAAGAAAGCTTTAGACATAGCCTAAAGTCCCATGTTTCATTTCTGGTGTTTAGTTCGCTATTGTTTCAGCCTCATTTCCCCTGCAATATTCAGACAGCTTAATTTGGTAAAAATGTCTCCAGACTCTTTCTTTCAGGGCCAGAATGTAATGATTCTTTACATTTTGTGAGAATAAGATCTCAGAAGTCAGTGTGAGACTCAAATACAGGGGCATGGCAGATATGCAGGCTAGTCTTGCGAAATTTTATGGGATTTGTTACTTACCTTTTGTGTGGTGGTAGCATTTGCAGTGTCAATTGGTATGATTCCAGCATGCTGGTCTCCCATAGCGGAGGTGGTGCTTAGCTCCTCTGTAGGGCTCATTAAGCTTTTCAAGCGTTAAGTGTGAGCACCTTGATTCCACAGGTAAAGAAGCTCAAGGCTGAGCAATAAATAACTCAGCTACTCTCAGCAATCCAGTAATTTGCCCCATTATCCAGTGACAGAGCCAGGAAAATCAGCCAATTCTCCCAAGTCCCAGCCCAGTAGTCTCCATCTGCTAGGATATGTTTAAAAGATGAGCTCTATCTGAAAGATTTTACTGTCTAAACTAATAATTGTCACCTTCACAGTTTGCAGATATTGGCAATTTCCATGGAGTTTTCTCAGACATGCAGTTTTTCAAGCCCCTGTAGAGCATGTTGAAGCCAGCTGATGGTAAACTCCTTTCCTTAGCTACTTTGTGCTGATCGCCACGAAGCAGCCCGTGGACTCCCAGGGCTCTGCGCACCACGGGTCAGGTACCAGTCATCTAACTTTATGCTGGGAAGCCACAGGTATAACAAAATTAATTAGGAGTTTGGAGAGGGGGTAAAAAGCACAAACACAAGCTAGAAAACAGTGGTTAAACGTGCCCACCACCCAGGTCTGGGATGGAAGATTATGCCTATTTGTTAAATTTGCCACATGAAGAGGCACAGACAGTAAGCTTTACTTTTATTCCCCAACTTGACTGTCCAACATCTTGACTCTGCCAGCATGAGGCATGTCTGCTGTTTAGTGATAGTGGCTTGACATTTCCTATTGCTTTGCTCTTGAAACTGCTTCCAAAGGCAATAATGCTTACGGGATATAGCTCCCTAAATGGAAGTCAGCCTTTGCTTATATCCTTGTTGATTTTTAAAGGCATGTTCTCCCTCCTTCCCAACTACTCCAAATGTATCCATGTCAAGTAGATCTGAGAGTGTGTCCTACTGTTGGCAATGCACTAGCTCCTTAGCACAGTTGCTGGATGACTCTGCTGCTTCTTATACTTCTTTTTAGGAAGAGTGGGAGAATATCCTCATTCCAGCTGTTTCCTGAAATTTCCCCAATGTGCTGGTCTGAAGAAAAAGAATTACTACATGGGAAAGCACTGACTTATTCCTATGTTAATGCCAAACGGCACAATTCAACCGGGTCATTTAATGTACATTCCTTAAAAATTGAGGCAGTCTGAGCCCAAAATATTGGCTGAGCTCTTGCATGTGCTTAGATCATGACTGTGTTAGTGCCATTCTTGATTTGAGCAAAGTTTTGTCATGTTTCTCCTGATTGGTGCAGACTAGAAAATGCACCAGAAAACTATGTGAGAAATTATTATCAGGGATGGGCTATTCACAAACATTTTACTTAGCTTTTGGCAAACAGGTGGATATTTGCTCTATTCTCTGAGCAGATACAAACTTGTAGTAGAGATCCTCGCACTGACAGCAACTAGACAAGGTCATGCTAATAGCCCTGCAGAGTAATTAGGTGTATTAGGGCAGCTTGAAGTGGCATGTCCAAACCAGGTTAATCTGTCTGGCATGGGTGCCAAGTGTTTCAAAGCTGTGGTAGCTTGCACTTCAGTTTGGCCTCTTGAGCTGATTGCAAACTAAGAGCTGCTCTACTACTGGTACCTGCCTCAGGTTTAAGTTAGCACAGGTGTGTGTGTGTACACTGCAGTCATGTCCCCATGTGCAGGGAGCAGTCTGCAGTGATTTAGCAAATGGCATGACTGCTGGGAGGGAGTGAGTCTGGGGAGACAGGGCAGGATGCAGGGGACAGAGGCATTTACTCTCTCAGTTCCTGGACTGGTAATAGAGTGCACTGGTTTCTGTAGTAGCTTATGAATGTTTTTGTCTCGTTTGCCCTTCCCCCTTCTTATCCTTTTGGCTTCTCACACAATTACAGACTGAGCCTGTGTGACTGTATGAAAGGCATTTCCTCCTGTTACTTTTTTTTTTTTAAGTCGGCTTCAGCCCACCAGCTGCTTTCCATTAGTGTTACACACACTCACTAGGAGGGCAGTACATAATGCTTCAGGCACTGCTGAATAGCAGAAATCCCTCAGAATCACTGTCAGACAGAGGCTTCTCAAAGCAGATTGTAGGTGAAAAGAGTTCAACACGTGGGACCTGTCTTCTGGCAAGCCTTCTTGGAGAAGCCAAGGTGTGGGGACAGAGGGTGGTGAGGGGGTGCTGTCTGAATGCAAAGTGTGAAAGCTGTGAATAGATCTCTTTATGTGAACGGTTGTTTGCTCTGGATTTCTCATCGAGGGTAGGAGCTGAATGTTGTCTGTTGCTATGGAGAATTATTACCCCCTACTTGATCCTGGGAGAGTATTTTATTGGTATTAAATATTATCTAGCTGCTTATCCAGACTTCCTGATGGCTGCTATTGCTGTATTATTTGTGATCCTTGGAAAAGGACCTTAAACTTTCTTAAACTGTCTCTCCTGTCATGAAAATTACAAGAGCAATATTCATTAACTTCATAAACTCCTCCCCTCACTGTTATCAGTGAAGGCAGTAGCAAGAGTCCTGATGTAAACTGCTGTTAGTGCTATTCTCTTATGCTTACCTTAAAACAATCATGTTCTGGCAAGAGACATACCAGCTGGGGGCTGGCAAATAAACCTGGGAATTTTGGCCTAGAAACACTACGCTCTAGAAGAGTGCAATGGGATCAGCTGTGCAAGGTCAGATCCCAGTCCCTGGCATCACGTTGGGTCGTACCCTGTTTGAGCAAAGTTGCTTGCGGGATCCCACACTATTCAGCAGATTGGACCTTGAGGTGCAGTTTGCTCAGCTCATTGCATGGAGAGCAAAGGGGGCTTTGTTTGTTGAGTTTGATATGCTGAAGGGATGTGAAAATTGAATAGAAATCTTGTTGGGTCTACTGTTGCTTTATGATTGACTCTGAAATCTTGGGGCTGTAGAAGGTAAACTTTATTTCTCTTAGTGTTGTTGGATTAACAAGTTCATTGATAGTTAGCTTGTGGGGTTTCCAGAGAGCAATCACCCACCTTTTGTCAGAACAAAGTCCTCTAATGTACTTTAATAAGACAGAGTAAAAATTTAACCTGTCAGTCACCTTTTGCTGCAGAATGTAATCTGAATAAACTAAACCATCCTGCATTCTACGGTTGGGGTTTTTTTAAACTTGGTGCTCAGGAGAAATAGAGGGGGTTTCTCTGAGGTCTTACAGTAGCTTGAAGAGTGTTCTGGGGAGAGGCTGGCTGCAGGGTGGTGACCTACAGAACCAGATGAGGGGCATGAATTTCCCTATGCTGATCCATCTTGCTGTGCAAAGTGTGTGTCCTGAAATCTGGAACATAAACTTGATCTCAAATAATTTTTGTAGCATGAAGGAAATTGGTCTTTAAAAGCTCCAGGCACAAAATTCACTTCTTTCTCTTGGCTGCTTATCATTGTTTGTCTTCTATAGGCTATGAAGATGCTAACTGGATGCAGTGCCTCATAATCTTGAGTCTTTATTTCCTCATAGGAAAGAGGCTGTTCAGGGTTCAGTATCTCCTTTGATCTCTCTGTCATAAGGCCTTCCGGAATGCTTATACAGAAGCATGGGACTGAAACTGAAGAAGCACTGAAGGTGGGGTAGAAGCTTCCTTGCTGTGCAGTCTCTGGGTCTTCTGTTCCACTGGAGAGACAACAAGGAGGCTGTGTCTCTTTTCTGAGGCTGAGCAGAAAGCGTTTCTGTTTGTCTTGAGCCGTTGTGAAATGCAGGAAACTTGAGTCCTGTACAATGTTAACTTCCCAGGAGTCCTTAAGTACGCAAACCAAGCAGTGAAAGGGAATTGTCTTTTCTTCTTTTAACATTCCTTCCCCTCCACCCCCATGAGGTACATATTCAGTAATGTACAGTAATGTACTCAGCTGGGAAAAGGGAATGGTCAGAACACCACCCTGGGACTTTATTTCTTTTGTCCTATCACTGCCCTCCCATAGAGCACTCCAGATGTGTCTGGTTGCCCCAGTTTGTAAAAGGGAGATGAGGTTCTTTCTCCTGTTCCTGGAGATTTCTTTTTTCTCTTGAAACTCATTAGTTCCTGTAATGAATTGAAGAACCCCAAGTGAATGCAACACAGTAGGGTTATTAATGGAAGTTTTGTATGGGATAGCAGGGAGCCTAGTTGTAAACCATCAAACCAGATCAGGGTAGTGATGGTTGCTAACTAGGACCTGTTGGCTTTTTAGGAGTTTAGGCAACTTTTTAGGAGTTCTATTGCTTTAAAATACACCCTGGCAATGCAAACAGGGGCTAGTAATTTCAGCTTTATTATTGTGATTGCATCTGTATCGGAAGTCACTTCACAGTTTGCAAGTAATTCATTAATTCACAGGTGTAATAATCCAGCCCATCACCTCGTGCAAGGAGAGGTGAACACCGTGTAGTCAATCTTTGCTGCTCTCAATAAGCTTTTGGTCTGTCCATGGCCTTACGCAGGAGTCGCTGCAGTGGCTGAGCCGGGCAGGGCCAGGCCTGGCTTTTCAGATGTCTAGCAGAGACTCAGCATCTTGCTTGTACCTCTGCAGCTGGAGGCCTGTGCACATGCAGGCATTGCAAATGCTGTTTGAGAGAGGGTTCAGAACATGATTAGAAAGTTACAGGCTGGGGAAATGTGCCCACTGTTCCACTCCTACTGGGAAGCAAGCAGTAGCTGGGACTTGAGAGCTCTACTACCTTGGCCGGCCGTAGCTGTCAGTCTGTCACTGCTCTGCCTTGACTGCTCTCCCGCTGAGGAGACAGTCTCCATCATCCCTTTGCAAGCTCCTTCCCCCAGCTCTCCTCTAGCATCTCCTCACCTGAATGTCAGAAATACTGCTTTCAAACGCCATTTATTTAACCTCATACTTTTATCACTAAAAGTCAATATGCATAGAGTATTTGTTTAAAACTTTGTCTTTAATGGTGCAATGCTCTGGGAAAGCTCAGAGAGTGCACATGGTTAGTACAGCTGATTGAACTGAACATACATGGGACTGATACATCCTGACACTGCATCTGTCAGCTCTCATTAAGGCCTGGAGGTGGTGAATGTCTGAAGGTTCGATCAGATAATGCCTATGCACTCACATGTATTTGTATTGATGGGTTTTTGTCCTCTTTTTCTCCATCACATTGATCCCCAAGCTAGGGTTTGTTGCTCAGAACATTTGCTAGCTGTTCTCTGTAAAGTACAACTCATTGCCACCAAAATCTGAAGTCTAAGTGTCATCTAATTGCTAACTTTCCTTCAGGTATGTCATCAAACTTTTAAAGATGGAACTTACACTTTGCTGTAAATGGGTATATTTTTTTCTTGACATTCAAATGCTTGCTAACTTAAAGCTTGGAAAATCTGCAATGGTTTCCCTCACCTCAAGTCGCTGTTCTGTTCACCGGAAAAAGGTGATACTGTGATGATGTATACATAGGCACCAAACCATTAGGTCCTAAATGGGGCACATTTGCAAACATCTGCAAACATTTGCAATTGACACTTGACCTCCATATGCCCCAGAGAACTCAGCTATAAAATCGAGTTAATGGTGGAGCTGATTTGAGTGTGAAGCCTCTGCCTCGGAGCTGGACTACATTGCAATTATAGTTCTGCTTGTATAAAATATATACCAACTGGAAATAAATGCTTGCGGTTATAATAAACACAGCAGTCAAAATAGCTCCAAAGGCTGGAAGGATTCTAAGCGAGCAGCTGAGATGATGGAGTAATTTAAATCGATGTAGAGGCAGTAAAAACAAAGCTGGATCTGAAAGCAGCATTTTCTCTTGCCTTGATTTTATTGAAGGTGGCTAAAGCAGAAGTTAGGGGTCTAAGTGAGCCAAATGTCAGGCACACTCACATTCTTTGAAAAAAAGCTCAAGTCTGGGGACTTGCCAGTTTGTCCTTGAAAATTTTTTGGGCTTTCTTGATTTATTTCAAATGTGTTTCCCTTTCCCTCAAGAAAAATCTAATGTAACAATATGCATGGTGTATAAAGTTGAGGGGGAAATTAGAACCAAATTTCTTTTTAATACAGAGAAAGTATCTATGAGAAAGTCTGCTGATGACTACTTTAATCAAAATATGCAGAAAATGCAGACGTTTTCATAGATAATTGATGAGACAGGGGGAAAAATGGAGAAGAGTTGAGTAATTATGATTATCCAAAAGGGAAAATCTGAAAAGTTGAATTTTTTGTTGCTTCTCATTATTATCTAGCAATTGTTTCAAAAGCATCCTCAGTGCATCTTATTTAGAAAAGGTATAATAGTCCTGGTTGCTCCAATGGCTTTTTCATCGGTTTTAGCAAGCTGAGATGAGATTGTTTGGAACTACAGTGTGTTAATGCACTCCTGTGTTCACTGCTCACTGATGATCTACTATAAAACAGAAGAAAACTGCAGTCTGTCTCCTCCATTTCTACCTACAGTTCAGCAGTGTGGCAGTTTGCATATCTGTGTGGCTAGCACAGGGAAAGCTTACTCTGTGGTCTGTTTTTTTGCAGGAGCCCTGCCTCTTTTACCCTCCCCTTTTTTTTTGTCAGTCCCATCGCTTCTGCCTCTTGATTTTGTGCACCTTATCTTTTAAGGTTATCTAAGGATGTGGGCTCATAGGGAAGTCCCATTGCTTTTTGGCATGACAGGTTATAGAATGTATGGGTAATGCAGAAGAAATATGATAGTTTACTGGTTGACCAAATTAGTAAAATTAGTATAGAATAATAATCTTGCTTTCTCTTGTGATACTTTACTTGGCAGTGGTGTTATACCACTTTGAGGTGGAAAATGATTAGATGAGGTGTCTGCAGAAAAGGGAGCAGGATTTGTTTCTAGGTATTTTCATTTGTTTGTAAAGATTTCTTACTCTTTAAATCCTGACACAGCATATTGTAACTGCTAACTATGTAAATGTATCACCTAGATATCTTCATAACAAAGGGCAATATTTATGAGCTGCCCTGCTAAACTGTCACATTTCCATTGTTGCTTGACATTTGTACTGTAACTCTTGTGGTCTGCTGCTTATTTCCTTTGTCTCTGACAGACGCCCATTTAGTAGTCTTGGAAAATACAAGGTGGAGCCAGTTAACATTGAATGATCTTAAAACTAGGCTGAACTTTTGTTTTCATCAGGGAGGAAGATGATGCCATCAGCTAATTTGGTTGATCAATAGCCCTGCTTGCGATAAGGTTTCAAAGCTTGTGGCTAAAAGCTGATTGCACTGGATCCAAAATAAATTTGATCTATTGGTTTCCACAAATGTAGCATAGCCCAGGATGATGCTTCAGTGCTGATGCTTAACTAATTTTAATAATGCTGACAGACTAGCCTGGTGCCTGCTGTGAGGACACTGTAATACATGAACTCTCTGCAGCAGAGCACTTAAGATGTTTTTTACAGTAGCATGGAGCTGTCAGTCTAGCAAAGAGCAATCATAAAGGTTCATTATTCTGAGACTGGGAAGCATTACAGCCTTTGCTGAGCAAGTTTAATGACATCTTTCATTAATGCAAACTTTGATCCTGGTTTCCTAAAAAGGGAGAGGTACTGGCAAGATATTCAATTGGTTTGTTAGTTTTGCCCGGAGAAATAAGCGTTACTGAAAAATGAGGGAAAGCTCTGTGCTGAAATGCAAGAAAGTGTGCAAGCCACGTTTGTAATAAGCATTTGGGCATGCAGTTTCTGAAGGGATCCAGCCAGGCTGTTCCTTCATGCTGGGTGGGACCACATTCTGCTGGGAAGGTGGACTGAAATTTAACTGATGCTTTCATTTTTATTTCAGTGACTATATCATGGCAACAGGGCCAACGGTGGTCACACAGTCACCTGAAACGGGAGACACAATTGAAGAATGCACGGGTAAGCAGTTGTTCTCTGAATCTATAGCTGATTTGGAAGTCAAGATTTATTTTCTTCAGATCAGGGGGTCTGTAGTGATGTGTTTTGTGATGTTGTGGTGTTTTTTGTAGTGTAAAAAAATGGCTGATGGGGGATATTCTTTTCCTATTCTAGCTTGGATTTTCAAAAACAGACTTTAGAGCTTGAAGGGCTGATTGCTGTGCTCGCTGTGGTGGATGCTCCAGAGATGGGAGCTGAGCCTGACAGCCAGCCTCTGTCTGTGCATACTGTATCAGTACCCGCACGGCAGCCTCATTCTCTGCTTCTGGCCACAGACAACTATTTGTTACTTATTCTTTAATCCAGTGGCATGGGCTGATGCACACAGCCATGAGGGAATGGAACAATAGGCAAGAAAGGAAAATATCTTACTTATGCCAAAGGCTTGTCTTGATGACAGGAAATCCCCTTTCCCAGTGTTCAGACTATTCTTGAGGAGGAGGTAGGTGAATGTGAAGAATAGCGTCATGGCTGAGGCATTTCAGGAGAAGTGGTTGTCATATCACTTGATTTTTTTTCTCTTCTTTGGCTAATGTCTCACAATCATCTTAAATGTTTGTGTTTCAAATGTCATCTTGCTTTATCCTTTAGAAATACATTTACCACTATCAGAACATTGGTAGAAGAGAGAATCAAATGGCAAAGCGACTGTTGGTTGGACTCTGCGTGGCAGATAGATAGGGGTGGATGCACAGCAGCAGCCAGTTTCTTAAATTTATAATATGGTTTATTGCATAGTCCAGTGCTATCTATGGCACCCTGGTGAACTTGTGTGAAACCCATGCATGCAAATTTTGTATTTGGGTTCACTAGAAGATTCAGAAAATGAATCGACTTCTGACCAGAGTGAGAGGGAAGGCAGGAGATGGCTTGCTGTCTGGTGTTGGCCCTAAAACCACCAGGAATATTCCTGAACACCAGGAATATAACTGAACCAAAATTTTAAAAAGTTAAAGGCTGCAGGGCTATTGCTGAAGTATTTAAGAGACATTTGACTGGACCTGGATAAAGCCATTTCAGGATCTTTGGTTTACTTCCCATGTAATGTAGGATTGCCGCACCTCTTCATAGCTTTAATTGGCTTGTCATGTAAAGGCTCCAGGAGGCTAAAAAATACAGAATGAACAAACTTTACAGGGAAAGCAAAATGCTTACTCCTGCTCGTTTTCTGTTATAGTGGGTTAAATCATAGTTAGCATAAGCAACTAATTTTTAGGAAGGCTTTTGCTTTTTAAGGCAGTAGCCTTTAATCTTTTACTTTTAGTGCAATACAATTGAAGATTGGTAACATTAAGAATTCAAAAATTATGAGTAATTATTCATCAGTGGGTAAAGGGAGAATAGGCATAGTTGTTCGAGCTTGGGTGTTCTCTCCTTGCTTTGACTGGATTTTTTTTTTATGCAATGAATTTTTTCCATTTAAAGTAATAAGATCCTCTTGTATATTATTAGTTCAAGTATCGTAGAGCACTCAACTAATTTAGCGATACGTTGGGATACTTAACAGTGCACTGAAATGTAGGCACCATTAAATTAAATGTGGCATCCTTTTAATGGTGCGCGAAACCAGTGCGTAACTGTTCGCACCAGGAAACAAATATGAACAGCGTCCTTCTGGACCACATCTTTATTGCCAAATGCTCTCACATAGCACGGTCCCACAGTTTTCATCTGCATGTGGCACTAAGTGTCTAGTACTGATTTTATCTGTTTGTGTATAATAATATAGCAAGTGCCCATCTTCTGGAATCACAGGGAAACTTACTGTTTTCCCATTCATCTGAAACAGCTGAAGGCATGCTGCTGAGCAGAGCACGGCTGAAGAGGAATTATTGCTGGAGCGGGTGTGCCCTGCACATCAGTAAAAAATTAGAGGCTAGAGAAGGCACTGAAGTGACCGATGTGTCTGCATCAGAGGACTCTGTTGCACACTGATACCCAAATGTTGTCCTGTGCCAGCTGAGGTCTACTCATTGGCAGTGTTTGCAAATCCTTTCCATGAGCTCCATTCTAAAGTTAGCAGCACTTCTGATCTAAACAAGTATTTGGAGTAGTACCTTGGCAATGTTATCCTTTGTGGTAGGACTGACGTCTGTTTCTCTTAAATGTCCTTAGAATCACTTCTTTTTTTGTTGTTATTGTGTTGTGTGTTTTTGGTTTTTTTTTTAAAACATTCCCCTGGTTCTCTTGAAATACCAGCATTTAATTAAGGTCATCAGTAATACTTGCACTAGAATCAAACTTGCTTTCTGTCCATACCGCTGTCAGCTGACCAGTGTACATGACAATGTCTTTGTTTTTCATTTAGACTGCTTTTAGACCTCTCTGCATATAGCAAAGTGTGCTATTTTTTTCTTTGAGTCATTGGACTGTGTTAGCAGACATTGCTGAATTGATAATTTTGGGGCACTGCTTTCATGAAACTTTTCAATCTTTTGTTTTGCTGATGTAAAATAAACCGACTCAACTTTGACAAGTTTCCTGGGAGAATACCATATACATTGTCTAATTGCTGATGAATGTAAGTAGTGGCAGGGAGGCATTTCTGAAGACTCTCTAAAAGACACTCAACACACTTGTTTTATTTGAGAGGCGCTATGGCCTTCTGGTTGCTGTGTGTCCTGTCTTCTCTTACCAGTTCTTGCTTTGGGCACGGCATGAAACAAATTGAGCTGCATGAGAGCCTTAACAAATCCAAAACCCTTAGGGTCAGCTCCTAGTCTGGGACAGGCAATAAAACCTGTATGTATTCTGTGACTCATTCACTTACTGCCCGATAAGATGAAAAGGTCTTCCACTGATAAACCCTCCATAGAAGTGCCACAACCCATTATTATTCAGATGAGTAGGAATCCATTGATAGTTTTGCTCTACATAGTTTGAAAGATAATTTGATCTCAGTGACAGCCCAAATCACTTGAAGAGCAAAGTACAGGTCTTCCCTGGATGCTTCTGCTCTGCAGAGAGGTGGCTGTTTCATTAGTCCGTGCCGGACAGTGTAGCAGTATCCTTGTACGTCCTGATGCATGGTGCTGGCACTGGTCTTGAGACCAGGGAGGAGACAGGGTGAGTAGATCTCAGTATCATTGTTTGTTTCTCAAAGTGGCTACTGTCTGATGCAGCTGTGTGGTGGCACAGTTTCAGCCCAGATAAGGCCCATTGGCAGGGATCCCTACACGTACAGGGCACACGTTGAGACAGAGCATCGCCGACTAAATCATTGCTGGGAGAGGACAATAACTGTGTTGAAATAATGCCTTGCTTATGAAGGAATCCTCCAGCTGTGAGCATTTATTATGCCAACTGCTGTAAAGTATTAATTGAACAATGAATTTGGCTCAGATATGCAGTGATGTTATTGCTCTGCATATGTATTTAAGTCAATCACAGGGGTCTCAGTACAATAGTTTGGCCCAAACCACTCCAAACTGAGCCCTCAATGTAAGGGTCAGTGACAAAATGCAGCACTTGTGTGTCAAAAGCAAATACAAATAAGAATGTTCAAGTATCTTAGGTTATTAAAAATGAAAGAAGTCAATGATGTTTTGTATGGTTTGTTTTGTTCTTTTTGTATTTCTTTTCATTTGGACAATGGAAAATCTGAAATGAGATTAACAGTTTTCTAATTGTGTTCTTAGGGTTGCTATGTTTGGGGGTTTCATGTCCTGCAGGGCAGTGTCTTAGTTTAAGTTTTCTCCATTGTCTTTGGAGGAGTTGTTGATTTTATTTTGGGGCAGTGGTTTAATGTGGAAACAGATATTTTGGTTTTAGAGTTTATAAATTCTTTCACCGGTTTCAGTATTTTTGCCAAATGTTGAATATCCTTCAGGTGTTGTCTCCTTACAGCACTGAGTAAAGAGAAAGCAGAACTAAACCGAGATAAGTAAAGAACAATAACAGTTAAAGACATTGACATACTTTTTTTTTTTTTTTTATTGATGTATGATAGGCATGATCACTGCTCAGTTGTAGGTAGATACATTCTCTATAGAAGGTGCATTTTTCATAAACTGGAACCTAAGTAGGCACCACTATTGTCAGTTTAATGCCAGTGTTGCTTTATAGGCAGCAAATGTAAGAACTGCAGCTTCACCTTTCACTGGACTCCAACACTGAATTATTTACAAAGGAGCTGACTAAAACTGAATGGGGTGCTCTAGCTTTGAGGTTTCCTCTAGAATTTAAGAGGTAACATTCTCCAAGCTAAGCAACACCTCCAACTTCCATAAATTTTCATTTTTCTCATGTTGCAGGAAAGAAAAAATCCAAATTTCAGACTTTCAAGAACTTCTTTGCCAAGAAGAAAAGGAAAGAGCCTCCACCTCCCAGGGGGGAGAGTAATTTAAAACCTAGCCAGTCCAGCAGCGATGTCAGCATCTCTGTGCTCAACACAACTGCACTTCATTCACCGAAGGAGGCTGGGTAAGCTGGTGGGGAAGGAAAATAAATAAATAAAAGCAGACCTCTCACAGCAGTAGGATGAAAGCATGAGCTGGCCCCTTAGGAGCAACCTCTGTCCAAGTTTGTGCAAAACAAGCCCTAATGCTGATGAAGGAATTCCAAGAATTTCCTCTTTCTTTGCTAGTGCTTCAAAAGCCAGCCTGGAGAGGAGGGGGAGGGCAGCCAGGGGCAGGAGTGATCTGACCTCTTAGTCTAAAACTGCAGATAGCCCAGATTGTTTTGGTTGGTTTTAGCATTTGAAACCTGTCCTGGAAGGTCTGATCAGCAGAAACTTTATATAAGGACAATGATTTGAGTAGCACTAGTACAGAGAACATGTGTGAAGTTGTGTTGCTGTTTTTTAGTATAAATAGTGCCCTCCATCACGGCTGAGGTAAAGGGAAACAAGTATTTTTGGTGTATTATCGGTATGAAATGGCCAGTTTAACTTCCTTATATAGCCATTTAGGTATAGATAACAACTGAGGGCCTCTAGTTTTGTGGTAGCTACCCCTGAGGGGCTTTCCCTGTGAGTGAGGTTTACAAGTCCTTAAGGTGTGTCCAGAGCAATTCTCAGATCCCTGAATGATGTTAGTTCAAAAGCTTGTCATTTTTTTCAGGTAGTGTAGTACAAGCTCTTAGCTTGCGCTCCTAGCAGTGCTTCGCTGATAACCTTAGACCATCAAGGTACACAGCACTTCCATTGCACGTCTCTGACTGACTCTGGGGTGGGACAACCCTCTGAACATAGTATGTCTCTCGCCAGGGGTGTCATGGATTGGTATCTGGCGGCCTATAATTTGGCTGTTCTCCAGCTCCTCAGCCTGCCCATACTCCCTTGGTAGCTCCTCAGGCAGGCATCTCTTTGGAATACCCTATGTCTCAGGTGGTGGAGCTGCAGACTAACAAAGTGTGACAAAACCTTCTACGCTTTGCAGTGTTGGAGGAGACCTTGGATGGGCATGAGAGTGGCAGAGGGAATGAATAGAGCATGACATGCTGAAATCAGCGTTGCTGCCAAATGCTTTGTATCATCAAATAGGGCATTTGGTGGAGCTGGACATGAAGTTTCTTCTGGTGGAACAGTTTCTAGGTGTTAACTTTCTCATGGGTGCTTGTTCCTCCTTGCCTCACCTTTTCCCACTCTCTCTGTTGTGTTTGTGCAACTGCATCATGGAAATGATCTGGGAGTGAAACAACAATCTCTTTGTTTGTTAGCATAACAGCAACAGAGTAAGTGACCACACAACCAGTCCCCTGGGGTAAGGGGAATTAGAGTGACTCAGCTAACCCGGTCCAAAAGGCTTAGGAACGGCTGAGTTTACCCCATCAGCCCATTGGAGGGATCTGGTTTAAAATTAGCTGTCTGCTCCAGAGGCAGTGTGGGTGTGAACTCTTTCTCTTGCCCTTAACCAAGTACTTCAAGCACAATTGCTGTTTATCTCAGCACTATCCTCCAGTGATTATGAACTGTTTTGCAAGATCAGAGATCAGGAAGTGAATAAAACCCTTCTGTTTTTTCTCTTAGAGATAGGATTAGATGGATTATCCAAAAAAATTAGAGGATATTTTTGTGCTACTTGAAAACCATAACATGTCCAGACCCTGCATCATATAAGCATGCTTTGTAAGTATCTAAAGAGAATGAACAACATAATCCTTTGGAAAACCTTATCCTGAAAGCCAGTGGAAATACGACTTGTGAAGGGTTTATAGCAGGATCCTGAGCTTTGCGATTTCTGGCATGCAGAATATAAAAACCAGTCCTAGAACAATGCTGCTGTTTGTTTGTTCTTGAGGCAGTAGTACTGGTTTTCTATTTTTCCACTTTTTTTTTTTTAAAAAAAAACACCACATAATGCTTTTAAAATTTAACTTTTCTGAATACTAACCAGAGACCAAAACCAATGGGTCTTGTAACAGCCAAAGGGATGTGCCCAGATATCAAGGTGCTGTAGGGAATCAATGGGATTTGGCATCTGCGAAAGGGAAAGGAGCATTATATGCCACTGCCCCTTTATCTTCCGAGTGGCATGAATTTTGAATGGAAATGAAAAAGCCTTGATGGCAAAGTTAAAGAATGTGCCACGGACAACTTCTTTTCTGTATCATCAAAAGGACAAAAGACCTTAAATAGAGAAAAATGGGTCCCAAATAGCCTTATTCCTGTTAAAAAGCTTTGAGCAGGAAAAACTCCTGGGACAGTATGTAAAACTGGCTGGTCTTTGTAATGAACACGCACTCCTCTGGCAGGCTGCAGTTGTTTTTGAGAGAATGGCTGCCTGAAGGAACTGTGTCACCTCCTACCTCAAACACTAATAAAAGGAGCTGCAGCAATAATAAGTGGAAGATAGCACAGGCCATGATGAATTTAGGAGCAGCTTTACAGCTGCTGGCTGTAGAGTCCCATCATTTCCTCAGTCATGGCAGCTCACGTGTCACTACACAAGAATGAATTGAGCATTTGTATAGGGAAATCAGTGTGGAGATACAGTGGCTAAAACATCTGGGCGTTTAACTAACAGTGCATCTTTAGCTTCAGCACAAATGTAAATACACTGCCTGGAATTGCACATGAATGTATATTTGCACATAAGAGACTCATCTGTACTAAAGCTGCAGTTAATTCTATTTTTAATCCAAAGCTTTTTTTGTGACTGCCAGAAGAAAATACAGTAATTCTCTTGCAAACACATATGATAAGTATGCAGAGAGAGAAAGAAACAGATCTTGTACTGGCAGTCTCAAGAACAAGGAAACCTCTGCTTTTTCTGCTGATGAATTCCAAGAAAAGAAAGCAGGAAATCCCCAAATAAAAAGGTTGATACATCTTAATGCACGTGCATTCTTTGCAGTAAATAAGATATGCTAACAAACAATGAATATACATTATGGTAAATAAAAGCTGTGTGACACTGTCTTTCTAAGTGCAGTAAAATTATGTCTTGCCCATGTAGAGTGTCTTTCATGCTGAAAAGGACTCTAAAATCAAACACACAAAAAGATGGGATGGCTTCATTCACTCTAATGATGAAATAAGGCAAGTGCCTTACTTGTGTGCAGTGCTGCTGTCTTATCAACTGACACTGACATTAACTATTACATATAATAGGAGGAAGCATGAACTCTGTGCTGTGGGAGAAAGAACTCAGATTGTCTTCAGCACAACATAAACATAGAGCAAAATTATTTTGCCCTACTGTGAAATTTGGCATAACTGCATACCAACTGACTACACCTTTGGGGCAGCAGGAGGATTAGTCAAGCAGACAAAGGAGATGTTGTCTCTGGAGATGTAAAGAAGGGAGATGCAGGAGGAAGAAGAGTCATTTGTTTGGGTTTTTTTTAGATGGTGTATTTACTTTATGAAAGTTCACAGTCTTTCAGGGCTTTCTCCTAAAAAAAAAAAAAAAAAAGAATCTGGGGGTTAGACAAACAGCAGAGACCTCTTCTATTTGATTTCCTTGCAGAAGAGTTAGATTTACTGGATTTTCTTTGTCAGAGTTCTGTTCCTAATCATCCTGTTACCCAGAGTCAAACTTTCAGAGGCAGTGAGCGTTGCCTGCACGGCAGCTTAGCCAAGGAATCCTTGTAACTTGTGGGTTATGAGGCTGGCGTCCAACAACATGAGTATGCTCTGTTGTTTTCCAGTTAAGTGCTAGGATGAAATCCTGGTAGAGGCCATCCTTGTGGTCTTTTGGACAAAGTAATGTAGAGACACTGCCTGCCTATGCTGGTGGAACTTGGTGAATAAAAGATTTGGAGCTTTCCTTGTCATGCCACCCAATTGCAAAATATGTCCTGCACAAGTTAATAGCCCAACCCCAATCAGTCCCAGTTGATTACAGCTCAGTTAACAGCTGTTGTGGGAACTCACCAGAGCTTCACTGGGCTGAACACCCAGAAGCAGAGTGGGAATATCTTTCCTGGGTACTTTAACTTGGCCATAGATAGGTGTGTAACTGTGGCCATGGACACTCGTCCCATCTACATTTTTTAATATGCTTGGGATCTGGCAATGTTCATGATATAGCTGAACAGAACTGTTTTTATTGCTGGACCTGAGAGGATTTGAATCAGGTTTGTTAATTCAGTGGAGTTACATTTTTTGCCCACATTTGCAAGAAGAGGAAAAATAATCCACAATCTTTGACAAGTATGACACACACCAGGCTGCAAAGGTTGTATCCTGAATGTCTCATGCTAAGCACATTCCCACCAAAGGACAGCAGGGTACCCCCCCCCCCCCCCCGCTCTGCATTGTAGACGTCCCTCAGGGTGGCATGCATCCAACTAAATCCCTTCATCTGACCTAGTCACCCTGGACTCCCTCTCTAGTCCACAGAAACTGGCCTGTGTGTTCAATGCAGGTGATGAGTACATCTGAAAAGAGACACCTGTATTTGATCAGCATACTAAGAAGTGTTTCTTCCTCCCTTCTGTATCAAAGGAGCTAGCAGTGAACACCTTAGACAGCTAATATGCAGGAATATGAAGTGAGGTACATCCCACCCTGGCCTCTTTATGATTCCTCTGCCCTGGTGAAGTAGTGCAGGGAAGTGTTGGAGGGCTATACTGTGTGCATTGACCACTCTTCCTTCCTTCCCAGGCCCAAAGGAAGCATGGGAAACAAAGCCTTGTCCCATGACAGCGTCTTCATTTTTGAGTCTGCACCGGGAAGCGTGGCAGGTGACATGTTGTCTCAGGAAAACATACCTGGAAGAGTGAAAACTTTGCAGGTGAGAACATCTTCCTCTCATTCGTGGTGCTGCTTTTTATTAGCTGACTCCTAGGAAACTCTGTTGCTTGATTCTTCTGCTGTGTGCCTTAAGATTTTGTTGACTAAAGTGTTCAAAGCCACTACTTGTGGGTCTTTTCTTCTTCTTGAAAGCTGCATCCTTGAGTAGTCCTGGTTCTTTCAGCCTTGCCCAAGCCTCATAGTATGTGAGTGCCATGAATCCAGTTCATGGACTTTAGAAAATTTCCTTAATGAGCATCCGATGGGATTTCCATTCTTTACTTCGTAGCCACTGCTTTTGGCTTAAGGCCATTTATTTATACTGTAATGTGTACCTTACACTGTTATTCTTTACATATTTTGTTATATATATGTTATTCTTTTTGGCAATTCTGGCTATGATGTTTTCACTGTACATACTAGCACCAACAGCTGTGTAAGTGTGTGGGATGATGGATATGTCAGGGCACTTTTAGTGACAGCTTTATTTATGTCATTATTCTTCCGATCTCTGCCAGCAAGGGATACTGTATTCTGCTAGGTCATTTCCTTCTCCAAGGCACATACTGAACCCTCCTTGACAGCTCCTTTATCAACTATTCGTTATATTAATTGCATTTAAATGACTGCTGAGCTCAGAGCATTGAGATAAAAGTTTAAGGTTTTTCCAGAGACTGAAACCAAACCATTGATAAGGCAGCCAAAGGCCATTGAAATTCTTCCTTTGCTCAGTGTGAGCTTCATGTTGCAAAACACAATTGCATCACATGTTAAGTAATAGAAGATGCACAGAGGGACTTGTTCCTCCATAGGACTGCAAAATAGGCTAAGCTTCAATTCAGGGTATTTTTTGCATAATAAGAGTAGCAGGAGAAATCTTGTTTATATATGTGGCAGAATTTTGTTGGGGAAAAAAGCTCTTTTCATGCTATCTCCAGTCCACTGTGCCCTCTCTTCATCCATCCATCATCCTGCATGGCAATGTAATACTACCAGCACTATTTTTATAGCAATGAAAGACAGCCTTTTTCTGTGAGCTTGACTCTTGTCAGAATAAAAGCCAAGCACTAATAAAAGCTGTTATTTTCTTAGCAATGTAAATTAACTTCTGCCAGTAGAAGACAGACTGTAAATTCAGAGTTCCCCTCATAACCCTTTGCTGTCTGCATGTCATAAATTTAATAAATCAAAGATGGGAAGTTGTGAAGAGAGAAAATCAAAATTGACTTTCTGTATTTTCCTCCCCATGGAGTGCAGAAGTATGTTGTATGCCTTGTTTTGCTCGTACACTGCAATCTTTGTGCAGTTTGTCATCAGTCCTGCTTTTGCAGATCATATTGGATCAGATACCTCTTTGATTGTTGCGGCTAAGAGGGCAAGAAAGCTGTTTGAACTGGGGCACTGGCAGATCAAAAAGTGACATTGTGCTACCCAGCGTGGCTGTTAGATCTATAGAAATTACATTACAAATGAATCTTCCTGAATAAGAATGGCAGCTATTTAGATCTATTTTACAGAGATATATATGAATGCATAGTTTGTAGAAGAGCACATAATTAGCATAGAATTTCCCAATCTGGTTTAATAAGCACAGAAACAGAAAAAACAGGTCTGCATATTTATCTTGGGAATATTCAGTTGCAACGTTTTTAGTTGAAGGACAAAGTTTCTGTTCAGACCTTGTTTCTATTCCAGCTTTGACAGAGCCGACAGACTTAAGCCAAGAATTTTAGTAATGGTGTTTCCTGACATCTGAACTTTTTTAGTTTGAGGGAACATCTGGCTGCTTGTGAGGTTGCAGACTTTGTTTTATTTTTCTAGAGTTAGGGCCTGCCAGAGCATTCTTTTGTGCAATCTTGGAAAAGAATCCCTGTACTCCTTTACAAACAAAGTTGTTCCTGGCTGTCATTATCATTTTTGCTGTAGACAGGACCAGGATGTGATACTGGGGAAAATTAACATGCAATTAATTAGGGTGGACCAGAAATTGAATTGTCTTTGTATTATTATTTGTATTCTGCTGAATTAAATTGTTTTCAAGGCTAGGTTGGATGGGGCTTTGAGCAACCTGGTCTCATGGAAGGTATCCCTTCCCATGGCAGGGGGGTTGGAATTAGATGTTTTTTAATGTCCCTTCCAACCATTCTGTAATTCCCAGCCACTTGTGCAGAAGAGAGTTGTGACAAGCTCTCAATATTTGGAAAGGTTTTGTGAAGGAAAGCTGACCACATAAACCTGGGGTTGGGAACCACTGACTTGTTCTGCTGGTTGTGTAACTACTTGGGACACCTGGATACATGGAATTATTTCAAGAATAATTAAATCTAGAATTTTTTAAAGTTTTAAATTTAAACTGAATTAAACTGCTGTAAATTTTCTGGAATGGTGAAATTTCTGTCTTTGCCAACTTACTGAATAAAACTGATTTATATTTTAATTTTGTACCAAAGCCAGTTCTAATGATGAGTCTTTGATGAATGTAACTAAATAAAATGTTATTAATGGCTATTTTCTGTAAATGGTCTGTTTCTTTGAGTATATCTGTTAACTAAGATATTCTACATGCCTAATGGGAGCAACTGGGGGAAATGCGTCCAAAATGTCCCCTATAAATAATGCCATTGGAAGTCTAAATTCTGAATTTCTTTTCAACCACAGCTTCAGTTGCAGCAGAGCATCAGACTTGGATCACCTCCTCTTGTTATAACTGGAAAGAAACTGGAAGATGCAGGTGCTGTTTCTGAAGATGATGGTTTACCTAGAAGCCCTCCTGAAATTTCAACCCTTCATGAAGTTCTGACAGATTCACCAAGCAAGGTATAATCATTATGTCACTTTAGTGACCACCTGTACAGAAAAGATAAAATCTGTTTAGAGAAGGGGAAGACCTTTTTGCTTACTTGTGATAAAAACTGGTGGTACGGATCAGTCAGAACTAGAACAAATTACCTAGGTGGATTGTGGACTTGTCACTGTGAAGGATACCTAGGAAGTGGCCTCATGAATATCCCTTCTGAGTACAATTTTCTATGCTTTTGTGAGGACCAGTGCTGGGGCAGTTGTGACCCATATCATTAAGGAAAGAGGAGAGAAATTCAGTTGATACACAACACTCAGTGCCTTTGGGCAAGGCGGTCTCTCCTGGCAGGTCTGTCTGGCAGAAAGTGTAAAAAGTCAGTTATTCACAGGTGAGTGTTGTGTTACTGTGACTGTTCCATTTCCAGTCCAAGAACAAGTTGAGGTACTCACACTGCACAAACAAACTTCCCATGTCTTCTTGCTTCAAAGAGGCACAGAGATTGTCAGTTTCCTGCACCTATGAAAGGGGAAGAGTTTTTGGGTGTTTTAAAGCTAGCAAGGAAAATAAAAATAGTGGGAACTGCTAGAGACTCTTCAAATTTTACTGGTTTTGGAATTAAATAGATCAAAACCATGGCAATATTAGTTGAATTGACAGGAAAGTGGCAATCCTATGAATCTGAGGAGAACAGGTCCTGATGGGGACTCAGAGGAGGTTTAAGTTACCTTCTTTCTTAAGAATTGCCTTCTCGCAGCAGATGCATGATTTTGGACTTAAGTGAGCATGTGAACATTTGCAAATTTGAAGATCTTAAAAAAAAAAAGCCAAAATAACTTTTTAAAATGTGTTGCCTTGTGCTCAACCTTCATTGCATATCTCATAGCAGGATGAAGCTCCCCTATTTTATGTTTGATCCCCAATTAACAAATGAAACCTAATTAGGGAGGTAGGGACTCAGTGACCTTTCCTTTGTCTTTCCTCTTGTGTTTTCTTATAACTAGCACTGGATATCCAGTCCTAGATAATTCAGTGTGATACTTCCCCTGACTTACCCTCTTCCTTATTTTATCCCACAGTCTTCCAACCCTGTTCAGCGTCATAGCTCTTTGAGTTTAGGCGGGACAGACAGTGAAGATGAACAGGTAAATAGCTACTTTTCCTGCTAATAAACTTTCCTGAGGCAGTGTGTGTGGTGTCTGCACGGAGTTAGTACAATAATATATATTATTTTTAATCTATTTAGGGATCAAAAGACTAAAATGCTCCATTTTGTAAACCTGCATACTATTTTTTTCTTTCAATGCAAAAAAGCCCTTTTCTATCCACTTCTGAGGTCTTTGAGCTCTTTCAGTCTTGCAGAGACAAGACGGAGACTGGAGAATTTTTTTTTCTCTCTTCTATATTGCACAGAATTCCCCACTTAAAGTCTTTTCATTTTTCTCCCCAACTCAGTAGGAATCTGGCTGTGTGTATGTTCCTTTATCCAAGTATTTTGCTTAGTCAGCAGTTTGGATCAGAAGAAAACCTGCCAATATGTTTATCTAAGATAAAACCCCTTTTCCTAAATAACCATCATTTTTTTCAGTAGCTTTTGACACTAGCAGAACACAAGTTGTAAAACTGAATAACCTCATCTCAAAGATGAGGGAGATTATGAAAAGCACCAAGAAATCCACACCAGTTATTCCATTTACCAATGTTGTATATTTAGTAAAGGAAAAAGAACATTAGATCCTAAGCAATCTGAAGTTACACACAGTCTAGTGTTTACATTTTACTATTATATTGATCTTGCTGCAGGTAACAGTTACATTTCTTTCCCTGTGCTGCTTCACTGGGTTTTCCAAGAGCTTCATGCTGCTGTCACCTCTGCGTGAAACCCTGATGTGTCATCACCTTGTAACTTCTCAGTGCCTTCCACATTTATAAATACCCACTTTCTGACTAATCTAAAGCTAAATGTGAGGCTGTCACTCAAAGTGAGCAGCAAGTGACTTCACAGAGACATTAACCAGCATTTCCCTGCCTTTGCCAGATAGCCCTTACGGAAATCTAACTTCCTTGTTGGCATCTTCTACCCGGACCAATTAAAAGCAAAACAGTCTCAGCTTGTGGGGCTGAGGACAGTGTTCTGACACAAACACTCTTTAGGAAACAGGCCTCCTGGCTGCAGCATTCTCCTTGTGCAGGCTCCTGCAACTGCCCAATAACCAACAAACATCAAATTTATCTTACACTTAAGCACTGATGTGGAAATCTTGTGTCTGCTCTACAGTCTTTGAGAGAAGAAACCAACTGTCAGTGTTCAGGAAAAAAATACCCTGAATCCTCAGTGGAGTAGGGTATTTACCATGTATTTACAGCAGTAGCTCAAACACTAGCTTCAGGTGTTTTTATATTAAATAAGCACAACTGTAATTTTATAATTGAAAGGCAGATGAGTTTCTATGTAGAAATTAGTAACCATGTTACTATTTTGGAAGTTCTAGTGATCCTTACAGGTTTATCATTAATCTTGTAGAATTATGACAATAGTTTGCTTATTTATTAGCTGTGTTCTTCCTCTCTTTCACAATGTCTAAATTTTTCATGAGAAGAGTCTGTATCTGTCATAATACATTCTGTTGTGGTTTATTTCAGATCTAGGAACTAAATCCAAGGGAGAATAAGGAAATTAGTTTTAGCTACCTTAAACGCGAAGCAATGTACACAAACAATTTTTATAGGTCAGATGGGAAGATGCTTTCATGATATTTAAAACTTCATCAGCTTACATGTTTTAAATGCTGTGTTATGTCCTAAGCTTAAACAAAACTAAAATCTAGATTCAAAGCACAGTTAAATGGCTGTGTTTCACCTAACTTTATGACCAAAGCCAAAATAGCAGGTATGTTATACTGAATGAAGCTTGTTTGACGTGGCTATGAAATTTTGCAAGTGTTCCAGAAAATCTGGTCTATGTTTCAAAACAGTAGCAAAACCAGTCAAGCTGCATGTTTAGGGGTTTCTCTACAAACACTTCTGAAAACTCTTTATTTTGATAGCATAATATAAGGTTACTGCTGTTTAGTTCCCCAGAGCAGATTGCTGCAGGAGTGAGATCCACATCACTGTCTGGAAGATGCTTCTGGGATACTTTTTGGAGAGAAACATTTGATATTAAAAGAGCAAAGTGGCTATGGCAACTTTCTTAGAAATAGAGATAATGAGGAGAAAGCATCCATGCTACTTTTGTGGCTTTTTAATGATAAATTCCGGCAATGTGTCACATTAATGGGATGAAAAGGCAGCTATAAAAACTGCACCAGTGTCTCCTGCTGGTGCATGCATATATTGCAAATGGTTTTTCAGATAGGAACTGGGAAGAGGGCAGGCTGAGGCTCTTAACTATGGGAGAGAGAGAGACGGGTATTTCTCACTTTTGTGTAACATACAACTGACCACACAGAGCTGAGCAATCTCTATGCAGAGATGACGTTAGGCATGCGTTTTAAAGTGAGGATTTATGTCCAACAATACAGCTGTTTCAGGCATCTGAAATGGAATGAGGTCGCAAAGGAATTGTTTCAGAGATATGGGGAAGCCAAGCAAAATGTATAGTGACGTGTTTGTGTTTTACAGATACCTTCAGGAGCTTCCTCCAGGCCCATCAGTCCTTCATCCTCTGCCACTCCGGGGGCCCCCAGATCACGAGGCAGCAGCTTCCTCCCCGTTGACTTCACCATCCCTGCCAGTCCCCTCGGCTGCCTGGACACCTCCGCAGCCCGGCACAGGATTGCCATCAACCCCCGGAAACAGAAAGGCTTTACCAACAAGACTCAGCAACCTCCCCAGGTAGGTGTTTGCTGGAAAAGAATCACTGCATAGAAGAAAATGGATGTGAATTTTTAGTTATTATTTTTTTTTACATTTTCTTTCCTGTCCACATTCCCTTTCCTTTTTTCTTCTTCCACTGGAAGAAGGAAAAGCACCTATTTTCCACCAATCCACTAATGAAAAAAGACCCAGAAATCTTCAATATCATGGAAGCTGAAAAAAAAACTTTGGTTTTTCTTATTTAGCCAAAAAAGTTGCGGGTTACACTTCACTCTTAAAAGCATTCGTGTAGTTTGAAAAGCTAGTTTTCAATTTTAAAGAAGCCGAAGTCTGTTTCTACAAACAATTTCAGATTAGCTTTAACTTAATTCTTTGTACGTCAAAGGAAAGAGTAAGGGACTTTGGGAAGGAATGTGGCTCTGCATGTGGGAAATTAAGATGAGATGCTTCTCATCCTGGCTTCTTGGAAACACGTTGTGAAGATAAAGTTCAGCAGATAGAAAAGTTTGTTGAGCTGGAGTGCAGGAGAAATAAGGACTAAAGCTTCTCTATTGCTTGTTCATCTCTCCATCTGCTAAACATGCATGAAAATTTATCCTGGAGTTAGAAGTGAAAGCTGGGGGGGGAGAAATTCAGGATGGGTGTAATACGAAAAGAGGTTTTCTTGGAAACTTGGGCCTTATAGCATCTTTGCTGAATATTCTTTGTGCTGCAGCTGGTACAACTACAGTGCCGAAGGAGAAAAGCTAATTGTGGAGTGTCAATCAGAGATACCAGAAATGCAGGTAGCTTGCGTGATGTCTTACTTGTTCACTCAGAATATGTCAATCCTGGAATGATTCGGATTCAAGAGAGATCAATGGGCTGCCTTTGACATTTTGAACATGAATTGTTTCTAGATTCTTAACTGGAATAGAACATTACCCACAGTGCCAGTAAATTACAGGATGAGGGGTTTGGGTCTATGTTTTGAGTATTCGTAAACATATGTGTGTATAAAATGCAAATTCTGTGCACCATTTTTAAATTAAGAAATCTTACTGCACCTCATTAGGTGGAACAGCTGGAAAATGAAGCAAGTCCTGCTGCAACTCCAGAAAAGAAAAGAAATTCAACAGAATTACTTGAGTGTGACCAGCATAAAAGTGATTGGGAAGGTAATAAAGCCTTATGTATTGCTACTTTGGGTGCTTGAACTCTTCTACATGAGGCTGACAGGACCTATTTGAATTTTAAGTCCTTTCAGACTAGGCATCTTCTGGTTTAATATAATAAAACAAATCCTGGCTGCTAAAGTGTTACAATGGTAAAAGGTCACTTACTCCACTCAACACAGTGGTGCTGAAATGGTAAACTTTGAGAACAGCATTAAAAAATACATGAGGTGAAGGTACCATGTTCAGAAGTACTTGTGCTACACCCTTGGCTAGATCTCATTGACTGGGGATCTGAGTTCCTCGAAACTCAGAAAGACCTAAACCTCAGCGTTATATCTGCTGTGTGTGTAAGATGACTTTAGTTGGCTTGTGTTTACTAGATCTTCCCTTGCCACCTACCCCCTTATCACTTGAATAATAACTAGTTGCCAGTGGTAACACAATTGTAATTGTAAATTTTTCCTGCTTGGAGAAATTAAATTCTCCAAAGTGTCCAAAAGAAGACTTTTCTCTTTAGCACTGCATTACAACTGCACTGGATGATGGTAACTCTATAGTGTGGTGGGAACATTGGCACTTTATTGTTAGGGCAGACTCAGGACCTGATGCTGTCACACGTGAGAGTTACTGTGTGTGCAGACACATGTAAGCTACCCAGTTGTTCAGCAGTCCTGCTGGAGCTGCAGGAGTCAGAGCTACCTGATGCTGAAATGTTCTGCTTAAGTACAGCAAATCTTCCAGATCATTCTAGGTAGCCTTTCAAGGCATTTACATGAAGAAATGTCTAGTGAAATCTGGCATACAATGAGGGGTATGCAAGAAAAGAACTAAACAGTAACTGTTTTGATACAACTTAAGCAGACAAAATCTTTCAGTTATTCCTGGGATTATGTGTGTTCAAACTAAAACTTGATTAATCTCTTCACTTGGACAGTCCATTTCTCAATACGGTTTTAACAACCTTATTTGCCAGACAATGGTGCCCGTACATGGGGAACTCAGGCTAAATGACTGCACTATCTGCAATGAATTACTAATGCAGATGGTGCTTGAATTGTAACCTTTAAGTGTACACTCTTCTCCTGTGTTTAATGTAGGATTACCAGCCCAGGTGGGACACTCCGCAAAGGGAGGTGGTACTAATGAGATGGCAGGTGTAAAAAGTCCCACTGATGCCACCCGTGACTCCTGTGATTCCACAGTTGTGCCAGAAGTCTCTTGTGCTTTGCTGCAAGAGGATGCATGCCCTCCAGATATGGACCATCACTATAAGGGAGCTGCACCCCTTCTGAGACCTGAGCCTTCCCCGGTGAACCTGGAGGAGCCTCACAGTGCAAAAGTGTCGTACTGTTCAGATGAGTCTGCTGATGAATTGAAATTACATCAGAAAAATACCAATACTGAGGTATCTGCACTTCCAAAATTGGAACAAATTGAAGGAGAAGCTGTTGCGTTTCCAGACATACTAGCGGCTGGCTTATTTAGCAATGGTGTGGAAAGAGAGGGCATAGATAATATATTGGAAGATGTTGCACAAAAATCTTCATTAGATTCTGTGGACTCAAACATCAAAGACCAGGAAAAGGGGGGTCCACTGTTCATTGGCAAAGTAGAAGCCTGCTTGGATACTGTTGAGAATCATTCTAACCACGCTGTCTCAGATACTGCACCAAGCACTTCACAGGTTGCAGTAGCCGATTCAGAGTCATCTTCTAACATCAAGACAGTGGCTGTTTTGAAGCCTGAAAACAGTTCAGGAACAAGAAATGACAAAGAAACTTGTGAAAAAATGGAATTTCAGTCATCCAAAGGCAGTGCAGAAAAAAACAGAGACGCTGCTGCATCTGTCTCAGAAGCAGGTTGCACACTACCTCCCAGAAAACTGGAAGTATGTTTTAAAGCAGAAACTGTTTCAAAGGGTAACCAAGGCAGTCAGCAGGACAACCCCTCCTACGTTTCTGAAAAACTTTCCATTGGATGTCTTGCCTCTTCAAGTTTGGCTGGCTTGAAGAGTAATATGTCTTCCAATGATGACAGTAAGGAGTACCAGATAAGCAGTACAGCTTCTCACAGAAAAACAGTGGAAGACAGTCGATCTTCAGATGACAATGTAAAAAGTCCACTGAAGACTGCTGCTGCTAAACCAGTCAGATTTACCATTGCACCAGCGTGGCAAAGATCTCTCTCAGGGGGTTCAAATTCAAAGGAAGATTCCTATAACAGAAGTTCTCCAACGTCCCCTATACGACCAGAGTTGTTTGAAGGAGTGACAAAAGAACACACGCGTTTTGATGCAGTCATCCAGGAATCAGCAAAAACCAACTCAGATAGATTTGATCGAGATTGTAAGGACAGTGATTTGCATTTGAATTCTTCTATGGAGTGGGCTCACCATGAGGCACAAAATGTTGAAAACCCGTTTGGGGTCAAACTAAGGAGGACATCTTCCTTACTAAAATACCAGAATGAAAGCCACGCTGAGTATCCAAAGCTGACCTCTTCAGCAGTTCCCACTGCTGCTTCTGCTTCAGTTAAGGAGGATCAGAAATCAGTGGGCACTGGGAAGCAACCTCCAGGCATTCCTGTCAGCACAAAATCATTTGTTAAAAAAACAGATCTCCTAGAAGACAAAAGTCCTCCCAAGACAAGATCAGAAGAAGTGGCAAAGAAGCAAAATGGTCATAAACCTTCAGGTATTTATGATATATTTTTATCCAAACATTGTAGAAAACAGTGGTCATATGGAAAACCTTAGCAGAGTGCAAACAAAAGATAAAAATCCTCTTGACATGGACTAAATTCAGCCTTGAGTTCATCAGCACCATAATTTAATTGGCTTGATGACTTGGCCAGTCAAGAGCATTCTTGGTTTATCTTAATGAGGGGTGTGTTCCAGCAAGAATAACAACAGATTAATAGCTTAAGGGCCTCTGAAACATTTCTGGTACGGCCTACTTGTGCATATAGTTGCAGTTTTAACTCAGTTTTTTAAAACTTGGTGCTGTTTTGTAGTTAATTTTCCAGACTGCTCAACCTTAACTAGGAGTTGCATTAGGTGTTTTTTTTTTACAATCACTTCATTTAAAATGTTTAAAAGTAAAAAGGCAGCCTGTATTTTACTGCATACATGAAAAAATAATGGTTATCATACTCATTTAATCTGCAATGTAAGGATGTTGTTTCAAAGGCAAAATCCGGTTCACAATGATCTCAGTGGGAGTTCTGCCATTGACTTAAACGGAAGCACAGTCAGGTCAAAAACTCCAGAATAAACAGAAAAACAGTTATTGCCAAGAAAAAATCATCAGGGAAGGTAATTTTATCTCTGCACTGTTCAAAGGGTATTACAGATGCTGAAGGATTTAAAACACAAAACATTAGCTTCAGACTGATTTGACCTAAATCCCTTCTTTACTTCAAAAATGTTTCTTCTGTAGAAAAAGTCTCTTCTCCACATTCAGAAACTGCTTCCTCTGAACCAGCTTGGGTCTCCGTGGCAAAACTAAAACAAAAGGGTTTCCAGGACCACCCTCTTGCCAAAGAACATAAAGCTGAAGACAAAGCTTTGACCAAAGTGGATCAAGAGGAGGTAGAGTACTAAGTAATATTGCATAATGTGAATTCTGCACCAGATTGAGTACTTTGGCACACCGAGAGAGAGGATAACTTGCCTGCATGTGAAATAACCCTGTATTTGTAGCAGCTGTCTTCCTTCTTGCCTTCTCCCTCCCTCCCACAGGATGTCCCCAACCATCCTTGTCTGGCTTTTGCTGCATTTTCGCAGTCAGGTTTAGAGATGTTGCCAGGGTAAGCTTTATGAGTGCCAGCAGCCAGTGGGTTTCTTAGGTCCATTCTTTTCTTCTCTCTTCCTTTTGTAGCAAGGGATCCATGCTAGTGAGAACATAGTGAAGAAGAATATGCCTTCCAGCTTGAGCTCTCAGGACAAGAAAACGCAAATGAAGACCAGTGTGTCTGCTGCAGCAGGTAATCTCTTTCTTTACATCTTTACGCAGTGGCTACAGTTTACACCAGTAAGTGGTGCGAGTGGCAGGTCATGGGGGGAGATAGCTACCTTTTTGATAATCAGCACACTTTATATAAGGCCTGCTCAGACTCTAGTTTGCATGTAAGTCCATATATTGGCTTCCTCACTCAGCAGACAAAGCAAGTGACAAACTTTTATCTCCACTGCCAGTTCGTGGAATGGCATATAAACAGTATGGTGATTAATTACTGGCAAAGGTCAGTACTAAAGAATACCAGTTGAAGTTGGAAAGTGTCCAGAAGAGAGCAGCAAAAAAACTTTTCTAGACCTCCAGTCAGCCAGGAAATACTGATGGGAGTGGAGTTGTTTAGTCTAGAGAAGACAATGTAATTTGCTGCAGAGGACAAGACTAGTTTTTATGCTCCATATGAGCTTAAAATGCACCAGGGGAGGTTTAGCTTAGACATGAGGAAATACTTTCTAACAATAGGAGTAGTGAAGTGCAGAATAGCATAGATTGCTTGCAGAGTGTGTGCAGTTTCCATTGCTGGATGTGTTTAATAGATAAATATGCATCAAGAATAATTTAGGTAGAGTCAGTTCCACCCTCAGGTGAACACAGAGTCTCGATGGCCCCTCTCCTGCCCTGTTAGCTGTGATTCTTTATAGAAAGATGCAGAGGAAGAGGGTGACTCAGACATCATGACTCACATACCTCTTCCAGGGCTACTGCTGGGCTGCAGCTTATCCCTCCCTGCTTACTCAGTGTGGTGCCAAACCTCAGAGACACGCTCCAGCTAGATATAGATAAGCTGGTTCTTCAGCTGTAAAAGCATATTGTGCTAGCTGAAAGCTATTGATTTCAGATACTGCCTAAGAAGATAAGAAATACCCCACTGTGTCAGAGCAGTGGCTTTTCTGTTTCAGGTCCCTGTCGCTGAGGCTGTCAGTAAGTGATGCTGTTTAGGGAGAGCACATGCACCTGGCCACTTTCCCCTTAAAATTCACCAGAATCCAGAATTGTTGTATTAGAGATATTAGGGGGTGCCTCTGTGCCTGCTCCCTGTAGTAGTTGCTTATAGAGCTGTTACCCCTTTTTGAATCTGCAGGTGTTACAAAATAAGCTTTCTCCGTTACTACAGGTAGCTGACCAGCTGAGAATGTGCACCAACAGAGAGGCTCTGATGTCAGTTGCCAGCCTAACTCTGTGTGTGTGATTAAAATACAATAGTTTTGAAAAAGGATTTTGTTACAGGCCAGTTTCGTTTTGTCTTACAAAGTCTTGTGCTGTTAAGAGCATGCAAAGGACTTTAGACTCACTTTTGCTTATTATAAAGCAGGAAGTCTCCTAAAACGTGAAAATTCATTTCCAAAAGCAAAATTTCAGTAACACTTAAAATCCTACATCACCTCAGATACTTCTGAAAAATTTGCTGTGTATGTAGAGCTGCAGCCTGTTTTTAATGGATAGTTTACTCCTTTGGCTTTGCTCAGGAGTGTGACTAATGGAGCTGATGGACATTTTCCATTGATTTCAGTGCAACTAAGATCAAGCTTCTCATACTTAACATTGCTTAAGTCCCCATGTGGCCTCTGTTCTTGTGCCAGAGCACAGCAGCCTCATCATGCCTGCCCACATGCCATGCACAGGCTAATCAAGTATGAGAAAAAGTTTGAATTTTCTCAGTTTGACTTACAGACAGAAATTAAATACTTCCTGGATTGAAATGGACAGAGAGACAACGATTTTGAAAGACTTCTGAACTGTGTCTTGAGAAATGAGAGCTTCATCTGTTCAGGGCTGCATTGTGTGACACCCCATTCCAGGCTGGCTGTCTGAAGACATGAATCTTGAAAATTTTCAAACAAGATGGATGGAGGAGGCCTTTTCTAAATCCATACAAGGAGTGTTATCTGTATTCCTCCATTCTTTGTGAGGATGACAGGCTTGAGTTAGGCTGCCATGAAGAGGAACACCTAGCCCCATCAGAATCCCCCCTACTTGGCTTACAAGTCCAAGAACATAAAGTACTGGTTTTATCCCTACCTAGTATTTAATAATACTGCTGGAGCAGTATTTCTGCCAGTAGGGAAGACTGAAAAATAATCTTTAAGACTTCTCAGTGTTGACAAACGGATACCAGTTACTTTTAACCCCACAGTAAGCCTGGGGTGATCCTTGCCCTGCAAATATTTTGTTTCCATTTTCCTTCATACTCAGGAGTCTTATTCCTAGATTTTATTGCAGTCACAGAGCAGAATAAGCCTGTGAAACTCTTTGCTGTGCACTGTCATGGAAATTAAGAGTTTGAAAAGATTAAGAGATGAGTTAGCCAAGAATATGAATTACAAAAGTACCTGGGGCTACAGTCTCCATGTGCTTGAAGAATTTTGAAGAACTTCTTCATTTATCAGGGCTTAGACACTTGCTGTTGGGACTGAAGAGAAGATTATTTTATGGGCGGCTTATTCACTAACAGCTTAATATCATTTTTTCCATTGCAATAACTAGTCCTCACCATTGTGTAGCTGGACCAGACAACGCTAGCAATACCCAGTTTAATAATTCCTCTGACTTATTTTTGAGTCACAAACATTCAGGGCTGTAAAACAATTGCTTTAGACAGAAGGAAATATTATTGGCAGAAACTGAGTTTTCGACTCTCCAGCCTTTTGATGAGTGATGGATATCTTGTTGTTGGCAGGTAAAGTTGGACCTATTGCTCAGGAAGCATCTGTGATTCCTGCTGTTGAAAAGGAAACAAGACACTCCTCTAACCTGCCAATGACACCATGCAGCCCCGCTGAACCACCATGGCTATCCCTGGCCAAGAAGAAAGCTAAAGCATGGAGTGAAATGCCCCAGATTGTACAATAGCAAATGACATGAACTTCCTTCTTTGTATTGCCAATAGCTGCATTAACTCCATTTAATCACTTCTTTACTGTGACCTTTTATTTGAGAAATAAGAGCCTTAAAACTTTTGATCAGACTGTTGTATGTAAATACACAATGAAGAAATGCCATTGCGGGCTTAATTTGAAATATTAGGAAGCTGAGCATTTCCTACTACGAAATACTAGGAAAACTTGATCAATTTGTTATATCCTTACGCATTTGACAGTGATGTTCTAAGAAGACATGCTTCAGGCTTTTGAAACATTTCCCTTGCAAAATATGTTTTTAAAGTTCCCGTAGACCGTACAGTATTTTGTGCAATGTGGCTTCGGCTAAGAAATTAATGTATGCTATAAAATAGATACAATGCTGGGCACTGACACATCATGACTCATGGGCATTGATGTCATCACACTTCTTTCTCTAATACTCTGGGATAGGCAGTCTGACTTTGCTGCTGATTGTTAATGGATCTATTTTGTGATATTATAGCATCTAAACAGCTTTGTGAGTTGGAGTAATTCTGGCTTTTGGGTGGCTTGAAGTCACAACAAGCTGGGTCTTGTGTTTTGTTCATCGATGCCTACTGGAATGGCCCAGAGCCACCCACCTTCTCTTCTTTCCCATGCACTAGAAAACCACCACACTCTAGCATATTCTCTGCTTTTGGTTACACCTTTGGAAATTTGGGATAATTCAGGCATTCTACTAAAAAAAAAAAAAAAAAGCCCTTT